GTTTACCAGAATGAGGATCAAGTTTCTCTTAATCCGAAGCTGCACAAAGCTATCAAACTTTGTGTACTGTCCACTCCAAGCGCACTTTCGCTAAGTGTGACGTTGCAATGCAGCAGCATCATGCTTTTTAGAGCTACAATAAGAAAATTCAACGTGCTTCTGACACCTTCCTAAATTTGGCCTCTGCAGCGTTTGCAAGCATCAATGAGAGTAGCGCATGCTAAGTAAATAATTCTTTTCGGTTAGGCTCATGTCGGACTCACGCGTTTAGGTAACAGGTAGTACATGCACCGAGTTAAACTGGATATTGACTATACTGCTTAATTTTTCTGCCAGATATTAACGTCAGTACCATTCATGGTTTAGGTGGTTGCAAAACAAGCAGTTTGCTACCATGAATATTATCTCAAACAAATTGCTGATGCTCTGGCCACCGCAGAGGATAATCAACGGTGCCCTATCTGCTGCATCGAGCAGGGTGGATGGGGTTTGGACGCTACTGCTCAAGCCTTTCCGTCTTCTTATTCCCCATCTTACGCTTTTTCACTCTTACCGTCCCCTTCCAACTTCACTTATATCCCTCCAGTTTTCAGCCACCCGATCCTTGGCCCTCCCCAACATGCTTTGCTAGGCATTTATCTTCTAATTTCAACTCACATGTGAACGCGGAGCGTCACTCCTCTGCCGTCGACAAACCCATGTCCAACCAAGCGGTCCATTCCAGTTCATCGGCTTCCATTTGGAGCCCTCGATCCTCCTTCAGATTGGCATGCCTTAATGTACGCACACTACCACAGATCCGTCAACAGGCAGCACTTGCCCGAACATTGGAGACCCTCTCGATCGATATCTGCTGTTTATCAAAGACCCGCCTGCAAGACTCGAGCTCTGTGCTCAATCTGCGATCCCCTTCAGGTGACGCAAACAGTATTTTCTCAGTGCGCCTATCCGGTGACGATGCAGCTTCGAGCACCGGCCAAGCTGGTGTTGGCATTGCCCTGAGTCCCCGGGCTGAAGCTGCTCTGGTTGATTGGATTCCAATCAATAGCCGGATGTGTGCGGTCCGATTGACTGGCTCGTTTAAAGCTTCGAAGTCGCGCGGGACTAATAGGTGTCTATTCATCATCGCTGCCTACGCGCCCATAAACTGTAGCGAGGATTCGGTAACGAATGACTTCTACCGCCAACTGACTCAGCTCCTTCGCCACAGAAGAAGCAAGGACACTGTTGTGCTGGCGGGGGATATGAACGCACAAGTTGGAAAGTTGTCCACTGATGAAATGCATCTGGGCGGTCAGCACGGTGTAGGCTCCCGTAATGAAAACGGTGAGCGGTTACTTCATTTGTGTGAAGATGCTCGCTTATTTCTTGCGAGCACTAATTTCCGACACGGCACCCGCCGGAGGGTGACTTTGCGCCCACCAGCCTTGGACGCAGATCGATCACATTGCTATTAGTTACTGCTGGAGAGGCTGCATCCAGAATTGTCGCTCGGTTTGGAGCACATGTGTGGACACTGATCACGCACTTGTGTGTGTTGAAGTGCGGATGCGCTTTGGCGGACGCCCACGACGACGCTGTGAGCGCATTGACACCAGCCAACTGACAAATCCAGCTGTTCTGAATGCGTATCAAAGTACGCTGACATGCGAGTTGAGCAATCGCTCACTGGAGACAATTGATGGACACTGGTCACATGTTCGCCAGACCTTACTAGCAGCGGGAAAATCCTCATGTGGTATACCTAAATGCCATCATGGACATTGGGTCTCTTCTCGGTCTCTGGAACTTATCGACGCTCGCCGGCATATCCCTGTTGGAAGCGAGCACAATGAAACTCGCAAAGAGCTCCGGGCAAAACTCCGTGCTATCCTGAAGAGAGACCGCGAATCTTGGTGGTCTCATCGTGCGTCAGAGATGGAAGTGGCCGCTGCCCTTGGCAACCATCGTAAGCTATCCCGTCTGATACGGGAAACGGGCAGCAGGACGCCTGGTGTTAGTGAAACAATTTGTGACGAGAGTGGACAGCCTATCCACAATTTGTCAAAACGTTTGGAGCGTTGGGCTGAGCATTTGGAAAAGTAATTTAATCGGCTAGAATTGTTCGATTCTTCGCCGGCCAGTGATCGCCCTGCTCCGTGGGCTATCCCTTTGGATCCACCCTCTCGCTCAGAAGTCGAACGTGAGATCGGACTGTTAAAGTTGAACAAAGCCGCGGAACCTGATGATCTTCCTCCAGCCCTCTTCAAATTCGGAGGCTCTGCTCTTATTGATGATTTACAAAAATTACTAGTGAAACTGTGGGAGCAAGAGACTGTCCCAACCGACTGGAGCCGCTCCGTTATTGTTCCCATCTTCAAAGGCGGCTCGCGCTCGGAATGCGGCAACCATAGAGGAATCAGTCTGATCTCCATCGCCTCCAAATTACTAGCCTCCATAATTCTTCACAGGCTGACTGGCGCTCGTGAAAGCCAGATTCGGGAGGAGCAAGCCGAGTTTCGTCGGGGTCGTGGCTGCATCGACCACATCTTTACCTTGCGTCAGTTGTTGAAGCACCGCCACACATATTGGAGGCCCACCGTAGTCATGTTCCTCGACATCAAAGTGCCTTCGCTTCGGTTGATTGATGTGCCCTTTGGAAATGTTTATTCAGGAAAGTTGTGCCTGAGAAATATGTAAATATTATCCAAGCATTATATTTGCGTAGCACGGGCAGAGTGAGGGCTTATGGCAAGCTGTCGCCACCCTTCATTATCTCCAGCGGTGTGAGACAAGAATGCCCGCTGTCATCTTTCCTCTTCAACTTCGCTATTGACGAAGTCATGGAGTTTGCATTTACAGGACATGACTAGGAACGTGTGGAGCTACTCACAGGAGAACGACTTCTTGACTTGGAGTATGCAGACGACATTGCCCTCATCTGTGACAGCTCCCAGACGTGCCAAGCCGCGCTGGACAGATTAGCACTGGCTGTCAGCCGCTTCGGGCTTCGCTTTGCACCATCGAAGTGCAAAGCGTTCCTCCAAGATTGGCAGGGCTCGTCTCCTGCGCTGACCCTTGGTGGGGATAAGCTGGAAGTCGTTGAGAAATGCAATTAACTGGAAGTTGTATCAACGCCCTTGGGATCGAAGACGAGATCACGAACCGTATGGCGCAAGCTCGGTGTGCTTTTGCTAACCTACGCCACCTATGGCGGCGGCGGGACATCACTCTCGCCTTGAAGGGTAGAGTGTACAATGCAGCGGTACGTTCCACCTTACTGTACCATTGCGAAACCTGGCCCCTAAGGTCGGCGGACGTGTCGAGGCTCGCTACGTTCGACCATCGGTGCCTTCGCAGTTTGGCTCACATCTGGTGGGAACACCGCGTGAGTAACGAGCGTGTTCGACGCATTGTTTACGGCCCAGGAAAAGGATCTGAACCGCTCAGCACCGTTATTTCCCGCACCAGGCTCCGATGGCTCGGCCACGTGTTACGCATGACAGCCCACCGACTCCCGCGACGTGCGTTGTTTGCTCACCGGGGATGTGGGTGAAAGAAGAGGAAAGGTGGCCAAGCGATGACTTGGTCCAGAGGAATGAAGTCCATCACTTCGGAGCTAGCCTCGGTTGAAGCTTCAAGACTCCCTGGCTGGGGTCCAAAAGACGGTGAACACGTTTGGCTGGATACACTTGCCGACATGGCAAGGAGCCAACCTCAGTGGCGTTCCTGCTGTAAATTTCTTTGTTCCTCCCCATCCCTTTTAGTCTCCCCCTCCATCTACGATATCATTTCCTAGGATAAAACAGAATTCAAATTTTTTTCCTCTTGCCTAGTAGCTGGCTGGAAGCTTACCGGAACGATGCCTATCTGTTGCTGGTAGCTCAGCTGGCATGCAACTGTTGTATCTTTTTTACCATTGTGTATTGTGTTAAATGTATGTATGTATGTATTTCTTTCATGTATTGCGGCACAATAGCGGAGGTGTTTTCCCACCTCTAGCTGATGTGTATAATGACGATGATGATCAGTTTGCTACCTGCATTCAAAATTCTGCTTCAATAGGAGGTAGAGGCACCGGCGTTGACACAGGATGGTCTGCATGAGAAAGAAAACGTTTGTATTGCTGAAACATGATTCATATGAGAACGCATCCGCCAAGTAATGAGGCAACATGCGAAGAACGATAGCGGTAAAATGCCATGGAGATCAATGAAGAAAACAGGGCAACAGAACAAGGCGGCGAAGTGTATGGAACTCGCGGTATCGGCCGAGCAACTTAGTTAGAAAGAAGGTGTATATGGCACGACGCAATAGTTCTTTTAACTCTGCACAGACTAATTTTGATTGAATGATCTTCCCAAGATATGACCGTTATACAGCATAGCGACCACCCCATTACAGCCAAGACTTCGTTTTCGTAGCTAGATTGGTCACCCGATTGTGGTTTCAGTGATTCAGTTTGGTTCGGTTTTATTACGCCAGTCCAGCGAGTGACCACTACCATTTTCGGTACGAGAATTATCTAAATACGCACTTCTATAGAGGCTAAAATATTTTAGTTCTGTACTTCTGCCTAGTGAACGTGTCGCCCCACACACAAACTCCGGGTAAAGTTAGTGCGACACTTTGCAGCAGTCGCTTTCGAATCTATAAAACAATGAATTCTAGATAAGCTCCATGTATTTTTCAGTAAGTTGACACTTAATATTGCCTATGCAAATCCATAGTTGACTTATCAAAAACGGTATCATGCCCACAGAAATTGCGTGAGTTTACCGCAAGGTGGGCGGAGTCAACCAAGGCAGGGAATTGTTCAATATTTTTCACTTACAACGTAGAAGTTAAGCTTGGCATTGTTGGAAATACATTCACGAGTACACCAATTGATACTGACATTTTCTTCCTTAACAATGTGTCAGCAATTTTTAATCTCCAGATTCCGTAAATGTAATGAAGACCGCATACCACAAGTTTGTCACCGCTGTGAGTTATTCAACTTACATGGCAAGTAAAAACACTCACTCATCATCCCGGCCTTCAGAGTTCTCAGAAAACACGAGACGTTCCAGCATGTGTTCGAACAAATGGGTGAGTTCTAGATGAGCTGCCTCGAAGGCAACAAATGGTAGAGTCGAACAGTTTGAACTTAAGCTGTCCAAGGCGTAAGTTACCGGATCTTCTCCATTCAGTAAATGACCAGATTGATCGCTTAGAACACCAAACAAGGTGAGAATCAGCAGCTGACATTTTATTGGAGCTATGACAAGGAACAACAGGTTAGGAATTTAGTTAAAATCAAGTATGTAACGCAATTTCGGAGAAGCAGCTTGAGGTAATGTGCAGAAGATGCCAATGAATAAGGTATCTCCTTTTTATTAATAGTGTTATAGGACTGAGTGACGCAATTATACATATGTCTCAGTGAGGAGTATCGCCCTTACTATTACCCAGCATAATGAACCGTGATGTAATGCAGGCACTTCAATTTTCGATCTTAATCCCTTAGGAACTCTACTCCACCGAATCCTTCTAGGTATTTGGCAATCGTTTTATACAAATGCTGCAACTTCGAGGTTCGCCTAATAAACCGTCTATACAAACACAGGAACATCCCACTTTGCCTTAACTATGAGACCGTTCACACTGTCCAATGCCAAGTGCAGATTGCTGTTGTTTGGACGGCTAATAACACACGATTCAGACTGAATTGGGTCACACTGGATGTAGGTGGCACCAACCGAATAATCGTACGGGATGGTGGCCTGAGTGTAAACATTATACACATATTAACAGCCTCACAAATCAGGTACATAGGTAATGACATTTCTGCTTTAAAAACCACACTAGCACGCTGCCTGACAGGGCATAAAAGTGCGGCTGAAACCCATCGAGCGAATACCCCGCATGAAAGCATGTCCCCAAGCGATGGTTCTATGGTTGGTCGTATCACTACGCTTGAACCTCTGGTCTTCTTTACACTAAGTAGTTGTAACAACCTCTCAATCTTCCCAAAAAGCACGCTCGACCAATCAGCCCTTCCACCTCCTAAATCATTTAAGATCTGCTCCGGAAAAATTGAAAAATGTACCTGTTCCATACGATTCACCTGTGCTTAATGTCCATACCATCCAATTGGACTGTGTCTCAAATGGTCGGGAATCCTGCCGTTAGTTTCTAATTTTTGTTCGTCACAAAATCATACTGCTCATGCAAGAGCATGGTATTACGTTGACGTATATGAACCGTGGTAAATATGGATGGGGCTTCTCACTTGGAGTGAAATATAGCTATTAGTATTAGACGAGTGGCACCAGCAATATAAGCCACAAATTGACATCTTGAAATTAATACATGTGCCTCGATTAAATTTAACCTGACACGTGAGGAAAACATGAGCTTACGAAACAAGAATTGCTTGCGCAAAATGGATCCGTTTGGCCATGTATAGGGAGAAATTGAAACAGGTGGGTGGAATAAAGTCCTCTTTAAAAATATTGTCGGAAAGCTATCACTAGGTGTTTCGGTAGAGATACCAACGCCGTTTCAAAAGCTCATTTAGCGAACGGCGTAACTCCATTAACTGTTTGCAAGGTATAAAATCCCGTCGGTTGCTGGAGTTACCTAGCAAGACATGGAATTTCTTCTGATCTATGTGTTCCCCCACGAAACCTTCAGTGAACCACACCAAAACTAACCTCTCTCGGTCAGTCAGTAGCTCAGTTTCACATTCGCTTAATTTCCCACAACAAACTTCCGAGACTACTAGTAAGTTACCGTTCGGATAAACTTCATTACTCGGTAAATTGCCTTCTTTCTTGGTGCGGCAAGTGCGTTTCCAGACATTTGCCAAACCATCCCTATTCAAACAAATACTCAACAGCGACTAGAGGGACTTTACATCTAAACTCACACTGGTTAATCATGGTCAGGGTGTTTTCAGTGATAACCGCCAGGCTGGGTTCACAGCATTCTTCCTCGTTCACTAGCCTCTAGCGGTAGCCTCCATAATAATTTACCAAGCTAAAATGCAATGCAAGACAATAGACGCCAAATGTTACTCTTTGTTGATATCAGATTACATGTTACGGCGTTGACAAAATCTACCTCAAGAATTTACCCATACGTACTTTACGACTAGCGGCTCACCATGGAAATTCGAAACCTTTCTTACTTGTGTAATTCGCTAGCCAATAATTGTCAGTTTATCTGTAAAGCTGGTCAAAAGGTGCATAATGAAAGTTCAGAATTCCTTCTGTCGAATAGATAAACCGTAGCACGGTTTTCCTGTTAAGTGACCGTGCGTCGCTTGTCAGGTTTATTATCTAAAGTACATTTCGGTATCTATCGCTTCCGGCCATGCAGTGGTTGTAATGTCTCTGGACATACACCAAGCATTCGATCGAATATCTCACAGGCGTGTGTAAAACATAGAAGCCTTTGGGATCCGGAACGTATTACAAGATTGGCTGTCATGCTTGCCAACAAGTAGTCTCTTTAAGGGACTATCGCTCAGCGCCGCACGCCATCACTAGTGGAATCGTCCATGAGAGCGTGCTTGGTGCTTCTCTTTTCTTGATCTACATCAATATCACCACCACATCCGTAAAATATGATCGGCCAATTGTGTCCGCCGACGAAATCATGATGTTATATAAGCATCGATGCCATGAATCCTTCAAGATGACTTATGTTCCCTAGAGACAGGTTTCACAATGACCATGAACCTCTTGGTTTAAGTAGCAGACATCATGTCATACGGATGTGCCATCTCCTAATGTTCTATTGCACTAATCAATGAATATATCCCTACACAATAGTCTACGCATGATCTCAGAATTAAATACTCATGTGCCTAGAATTTCTTCGAACAGACCCAATGCCAAGTAGTACCTCCGAGGCGATATGTGTTTAACATAACCAACACAATCCACACAATCAAACCTAGAGTTTAACTCATAAAGCTATTCACCCGCCCCATCCTCGAGTCATGCAACATAATATACGGAAACATGAGTATGATAGACAGAAATGCTCAGGAACGCATGCAGATATCGTTTACTACATACCTGATAAATAAGCACTCCCCAAAGAATTATCTAGAGCGTTACAACAAAATTCAATTCGAGGCACTCTGGATGTGATATTTGAAAATTAATTTGTTGCTGCCTTACAATTTGCTATCCAACAATACCCATTCCGACCTGTCTACACGCGAACTGTAGTGAAAAAGTATAGCTCAGTTTGAGAACTTCGCAACAAGTATTATGCATTGTTTAGAGCAGAAGATGTAACAAGCTTGCACTCCAATTTATTCATGATCAGCTAGACCTATCTATGAAATAAACTCTTAATCACACGTACGTCAAATGAACTAGTTGCAACATTTGGTCACATGATCGCGTTATCTTTGGAAAAACCAGTCGATCAACTATCCCAAGATGGGCCATAAACCGTCCAAACACTCAAGTGTACCAACCTTGTTTTTTGAATCATACATCCACTACATCGCTATTATATAAAATTCAGGCATTAATGTTGCACATATGCGTACGGCGCATGCAAGCTCATAGTTACAGTTTATGTAGACATCACCTCGCGGATCAGGGGAATATATTCATTGTTATTAATACTTCACCGCAGAAACGCCAGGTTTATGGAGAGTGATATAATAAGGGAATGCGGGCCATTCACTACATAGAGTGCTGCGTCTTGGAGTAGGCAAGGTTGTTAATACCCGTGAAAGCTACTTAACATATTTCAGTAGTGAGCGATCTCCATATTTTGCCTACTGCTGATGCGCAGAGAGACTAATAATACAAGAATTATGTTCACTGTTTGGACCCGTAACCCTCAGCGTTGCTTACTTAACATATTGTCTTTAAACGTAAGCCATTTTATACCTTTTAGATCCTCCAGTTTCTTCCGGAAATGAAGTGGAAAATCAGTAGTCATGTATAGGACTGCCAAATTTAGTTAAAGATTGATCAGATGAAACCAATGACATATAGTTTCAACTTTTATGCTCAGATAGACAATATTGTAAGCGACAAATTTGGAAACACATGTACCTCGCGGTTTCGGTTCTGCTTCGCTTGTGACTTAATAGGTGACAGTTTAACTTAGCCTCCGAGTTCGGAAGCACACGTCACACTAAACTTTCAGATATAAACTGAATTAACGTGAGCACTAACGCAACGGTCCAATGGTGAAAGGGTGAGCAGCAGTCTATGTGAACTAAAGTGATAGATGCAATCTGCAATGCAGGAGAATGAGATCGTCCAGAGGAAAAAAGACACGCTCATTATGGAGTTACTTACAGGAACAACAGCTAGGTGTTGGTTTGCTAACCAATTTCGTTTAAACTTTGGGACTTTGTGTTGAATGTTGTAACGAGTGGAGAATTATAGAGGCATTTAGAAATATCATACTATTATACCGGCAAGCTAAGCCATAGTATCGACGAAGTCGCAAATAGTCCATTATTCTTTGCCCGTATTCGTGCCAATGGAACGATTGATTTTAGCTCCACGGATAGGTTTAAACCCTGCGCTCAGAACGGTCGCAGCGAAATAACTCTGTGACAGTTTCGAGACGTGAAGTAGGCCTGCGGCAACTCACGCGGAAAGCTAAACAATGCAGTCCGTCTTCATGACACGTGTTGCTAAGCGACCGGTGTCAGCACCACTGGAGCTGGCTAGTGGATCTGTCTATATCATTTCTCACTTGCTAACATCCTTAACGCAATCACTTACATCCTTAGTGCAGAAGCCTTCATTCTTAGTGCAGAAGCTCTCCTGCATAATGCAAAGGCTATCACCCGACAATCATCACACTTGCATCCACGTAGCACTCCGTGGGCAGAGGCTACTAGCCCTTCGGACAAAGTTGAATGCCGCACTTTCTATTCCTGTAACCAATTATTCCGAAGAGTTAGATCGTCGCCATCGATATCATACCACTTACCGGAAGATTACTACTTCGCTCTAGCCCGGAACATTCGTGCGCATGTAAATGCTGCATCAAAAGGACAGCCCACGTTGTCAGATTCGATAAGGATAACGCGTGCATGTGGACCAGGCACTTACCGGCTGGAGGATGGCCGCACAGTCAATGCCCGGAGATTATTCACCAGTAGCAGACGAAAGGAGCATGTACCACCAACCTTCACTGACGAAACTACGCAAAGCACGCAGCTCCGCAGAATAAGCCGAGAAAAAAGATGACAGAATCGATATGGTTTTGACGCAACATAGAATTAAGCGGAGGGGTAATGTTGTATATGCTCTCAGCACTCTTGACGGCTAGTCTAAACAGACGCGTGCACACACACAAAGCATATAATTCTCTGCTTCCCTATTGGTTCATCCTTCTCCTTGCGACACCTTAATGTACTCATCCGGTTAGACATTTACCAGATTACAGCAGTTCGTTCACGGGAGTGACCTTCTTAATACTGCCCGTGCGTTTGATCTTTCGTACACAACATATTTTACGAGGCCAGCTGCTTGTAGTGTAATCCCTTCGTAACAAAATCTTACATCTCTGCGTACTTGCGGAACAAGGAGAAAAGTAATATAATTCACCGTTTAACATATCCTTTGAAAGAAACTTGCAAGGCTACAATCAAACATCGATCACAGGCCTCCTTAATCCCTCCATTGGTGATTATATCATCCCACCCGGGAGCTGTCCTGTCTACCTCGATCAGATTTGACCTGTGTGGTTCGTATGGGGGCGAATGGTTTGGAATGTGATTGCCTTCTACCCTACGTTCAACTTAGACCTGTTGATCCGTCACAAAAGTAATATCTCGTTGCATAAAGAAAGAAATCATGGGTTGTGATTGGTATCCATTCTGCTGAGACTGAGATCGTTCCGCTCCCTATGTTACGGACAACTTGACTTCGAGGCCAAACGGTAGCTTCAACTGCGCCTTCAACTACCCGACCCAACTAGCCTGAATACCCACCAAAACGAGGCAACTTGTCTGCGCCTCTTCTTTAGAGCACCTTTTTAGTATCAAGCCAACGTTGTGCACTGTTGTCCTGCGTGCATCATTTGCGTCCTAGCCTCAGACATCTCCTTCGCTCACTTACAAAAGGGGCTTGACTACACTTTAGGTTTATACCCTGTGCTCTGAGCGCACGTGTTTCCCTTCCCTCAGGGACTGTGCGTGCTCCAGTGGAAGTCTCAGAGACCCCCATTTTCCAGTGAGGGCGCGCGGCACACTGTGCACCGGCTGAGATCCGTTTGGTAAAGTTTCAATTGCCGTCCATTTGAGTTGGACCCCGCTAGTCTCACCCAAGTCTCACAGATTTCCTGCCCACCTCCGAAAGCGTGAGTACTCTGCGCATAACTGTGTTCAGTCTCTACGCTATACCGAATCCTATTGGCTGGTAGCCTCTGCCCACGCAGTGCTACGTGGAAGCAAGTGTGATGATGATCGGATGACAGCCTTTGCATTAAAGAGGAGAGCTTCTGCACTAAGAATGGTAGCTTCTAATGATAGCTTCTGCACTAAGAATGTAACTGATTGCGTTAAGGATGTTAGCAAGTGAGAACCGGTATAGACAGGTGACGTGAGTCAGCTCAGAAACGCGTGGCCTTAGATGGTGGCATTTGACCTGCAAAATTAACCATGTGCTGTTCCTAATACACTACGGTCTGGTGGGCTTCCGTCTTCTGTCTTTTGCCCCGGCTGAATTTGCGATGCAAAGAGCAGAAGCAAACGCAGTGTTAAAACATTTACATATAAGCAAAAATTTCAAAGTCTGATGAAACCTTTGACGAACGTATCCGTCTGATATCAACCGGCACCTCCACGCAGTTGTTGATAGTATGGAATTAATGAAGGGTGTATTTGACAATTGTTTTCCCATTGGTTGTGTTGGTACTTTCTTGCCAGAAATGCGTAATGGGACGA